CGCCTTTTTTTTTTTTTTTTGCGGGGCTGCACAGGGATCATGGATTCGGGCCAAAAAGTGTTAAAACAAAGCAATTCATGCATGTCTTTTCTTCGGATTCATCATCAAGAAGGACAAGTCTCTAGTGGATGGTGCTCGCGCAGATTGAACATTGATTAGCTCCAATCCGGGTTCATTATGGTGTTGATGCAAGGATTGTAGGAATGTTGTCATTGAACATGCAAAATCCACCCCGTTGTCTTGACCAAAAGCATGTGAAGTTTGTTTGGCTTCATTCCTTTGAAATGGACAGAATGCAGGAGGCCGTCAACGCAGCGTGCCCACATGTTGTTTATTGAAGAAATGCAAGCATGTGCACAGCTGCTTCCCAATTGGCAAGTAAGTACCTTGTGTTCTGGGATTTGGTGGCAAATTCCTGTTCTGTTCCAGCAATCTGGAGTTGGTCATCCAATGCCATGAGTAGTCAAGTACGTTCATGCCCCGGGTGGAGAGCTCACAGCTTTTCAGATGTGAGCATCACATGTGCCAGCAGACTGCTTGAGGTTGCGAGGGCATTGTCATTGAGGGGCCAAACGATAAAGGACGATGGGAAGTGCAGGCAGGTTCCCACAGCGTTTTTAGCATCCAATTTCTGGAGCTGCACAGGTTGACTACCAGTGCGAGACCAAGACGTGAGGAGCCTACATACACCATGCAGTTGTGCAGCTGTCACTGAAATGCCAACGGTGAACACATGTCTGTACTTGGAGCGTCTGCGGCCCAAAGGCTTGAAGTCATTACATCATTTGAGCTGTCACTGCGCTTCACTCGCGTCAGCCTGCAACTGGCGTTGAATCAAGGGTGTACTGTAAGGTTGCCTGCCTTGATTCGCGCATTCAGGAAGATGAAGCGTTCGACGCTGTTACACATGTGATGTCAATGTAAGCATGGTAACGCGTCGAGTTTTCGGCTCTTTCCACTGCTCCAACGTGCTGGACCTACTGAGGCCATTTCCATCGAAGATTGTTGAAGTGAAGCGTTGACCAAAGCACTTGTCCGGGTCCGTCCGGTCAGGCAGCCGCGGGGCCAATTCCAGCCGCCGCCCAGGACTTCCGAACCCTCACAACTTGAGATCTCAGCTTCAAGCACATAAGAATGATCTGAGTCGTATTTCTGAAAGTCATATCCGTTTCATGTGCAACAGTTTGTTGGATGGTTTTGGACTCGAGCTTGTGCATTTACCCTGGCTATGCATCCATTCAAGATCACTCTGTGTGCTGTCGCCTTGCAGGCCATTTGCACTTCCCTCGTCAGACCCAGGAAGCCTGGGCCTTGCTCCCAGTGGCCGCTCTTGAGGCGCTGGTCGAGTTTAGATTGGGTAGGGAAAGCTTGGTGCAGCCAGTGGGTTACATGTTGTGACAGGTCCAAGCGGCCACTTCGGCGCAGAAGCGCGCAAGCACTTTCTGCTCGAGGATGGCTTTACATTCCTGAATCATGGTGCCTTTGGCGCCACACTGAAAAGCTGTTTGGAAAGCAAGCGATTGTGGAACGAGCATGTCGAGAAGCAGCCTGTTCGCTTTCTGGACCGAGCCTGGTCAAACTTTGATATCCTGCATTTCAGGGAGTGAAAGTATCGGAAGTGGATCAGCTTTGCGTCCTGAGGAGAGCTGTTTCCATGGCTGGTCAGCGTGACCCGCAGCTTGAGTCAGGCTGTCAGGCTGCACTTGCGAAACGTCAAGAGGAGAAACCAAGCGTGGCCAGATGTGGCAAACTTCTACCAGGTTCTGCATGTGCCTGCAGAGGACTTGCTTCCCGTGCTTTGGCTGATTGCAAGCTCGCTGTCAGGTTTTTGCTTGCAAGGGCCGGTGTATTGTGCTTGCTGGCTTTCGACATGGCTGCAGGTTCCCAGTGCTACTGTCGGGATCAATGCAGTGCTGCGATCTTGGCAGCGCTGGGCCAAGCCCGATGCCTCAAAACGCCTCTAGTCTTTGTTTCATGGACGCACAGTCTGAGGAGCGTCTGAATGCGTCTGATGCCTTGCCATGCCTTTAATGTCAGTGAGAATCAGTAGTTAGCAGCCGTTTCATCCCAATTTGGTGGCAAGCTTGGCCGTTTTTTTTTCTTGCTTGGCACGTGACGGCGAAGATGAACTCGGGGCACAAGTAAGATTGTCAGGCGAGATTCCTCTTGTGCATTGTCGTGGTGCGTCGTGTCAGGGACAATTTTGCCTCCGAGGTGTGCTAATTCTTTCGGTGGCCTATGGATCTACCAAGAAGCTGCTCAACCGTATGGCGGAAGAATCCGGCTTCCAGGCACAGCAGCGGGAGCAACCGGAAGGAGAAGTATTGTTGCAGCGCGTTTTAAATGTAATAAGTACACGCATGCATGGTAGTGTGGCTGTGCTCTTGAGTGTAGCTTCACAATGCAAGGGTCATCAAGAGTCCCACGCCGATACGCGCTCAATCACTCACGTTCATAAACCTCACCGTTTCTCACCACGGGTGCTTTCCATTCTAAAGTAATGAGATTTCGCTGCGCCTGTATCAGAGGCTCGTATAAGTGGGGACTGCGGGGTGCAGCAAGCAATAAACTGTAGACTGGTTGACCACCTTTGGACTTTTAGCTTTCTCCTGGCCAAAACTTTCGAGAGCCTTTTTGGTGGATTGTTTCAGTTAGTTTGCTTACGGTTCATCATTGAGGCTGTGCAGGAAAGAGACAGACTGTTGGGGGAGAAAGCCCTCGAGACAAATGGCTGAGCATCCCCTTAGAGCTTTCAAGCATCGCTTCCTGCAGCATACTATTTTCACGACCGTCCCGCAAACTGAGTGCAAAGATGTGAAGCGAGCAGATCTGTGCTTCCGGAAATGTTTCTGCGTATCATGATTTCATTTGCTCATGACGTCGCAGCGCACCTCGCCAGATGCGCATTATTCCGCATTGAAGGTCCTGCATGAACTTCTACAAGCACAATGTGCTGCTCCAAGCACAAACTAGTTGGCATACATCACCGTGTTTTTGTGAATTTGTAATAAGTGCTGGATGTTCTGTAGTTACAAGCTTCCTGAGCTGGACTTTCTTTTAAAGACTTTCAGCGACAAGCGGAATCCGTGCATGTTCTGTTGGCTTTTGCATCTCTATCTTGTCGTGTCCAGCTCCTCGGTAGGCTTTCGAGCAAAATCTTTCTGAAGCTTGCAGAGAGCTCCTAAACGTTTTTCTCCAACCTCACAATGGGGTTTGGTGAGGTTCTTAGATTTTTAGAAGTCTATCTTCTCCTCCAAGTTCCCTGCAGTGCCCAACCAAAGAGTGTCCCTGCAGTGCTCAGCTGCCTGTCTCGATCGTGCCCATCTTCAGAGAATGCTGTGCCTGCCCCGGACTGTCAATGCAGTGCCCAATACCAGAGTGTCCCCTGCAGTCCCTGAAGTGCCCGACCCCCGCCACTTTCATGCAAAAGTCCACAGGAGGGTCATGCAGCAGCAGATGACTGGCATCGGTTAAGCTTTCGTTTTGGACATGGATCTTTGAGTGCCGGAGCATTCAGATGTAGTATGGTTGTATGATGCAGGTGGATCAAGCAGTGGTCGAGTTTCCCTTGGCCGCAGACGCGGAGGAGAGTGTGTCAATTTGTGCAGATCATGTTTGTTGATGTTTGTCGGGGGTGCCCTTGTCATTTCCTGCGCAATTTGTTGTTTTTTTCCGCATCGTTCATCCCAATCTATGCGAGTTGGGTTCAGCTTGGATGGGTTCGATGTCTTTAGATGTTACACTTATCTTAGCGCTGAGTCTTTAATGCAAGTAAACTTCCAAGGAGCTTTTCAGCAGAGACGTGGGGACGCTGGCAGGAGAAAATTCTTGCTTCTCTGGAGGGCCATTTGCAGCCCAGCACATCACTGGTGATCCTGGACGTCATTCCATCAAACGCTCCCTTCGTGCCTGGATGGAATCATTTGCTGTGTGTGGCTTCCGGTAAAACCCCGCTTCTGTTGAGGTTCTCCCGCTGCGAGAGGCAGTGGCCTTATGCCGTGCCAAAGCACCGCAGGCCATCGGTTGCGTCTATTTGCTGGGCCGCTCAGGGCCATGTTGGCAGCGGTCTGCAAGTGCTGCTGAGTATTTTGCCAAGAAAAGGACTTCGGTCAGAGTTTTTGCTTGCGCCAGGCCTTTGTGCTGGCAGATGCGGCACACGGGCTTTTCAGTGCCAGCTTGAGATGTGCTGGGGAATTGGGGCATTTATCCGGCGAAAGCTTTGCCCTTCAGGTTTGCCACTCAAGCTGACTGGTCCCTCAGCAGTGCAAGTGGATGCGCTGGTGACCAACTGCCTTAAACTCGGTCGTCGTTCTGGTGTAGCACTGTACGTGTTCATCTTCCGAGAAGTAGAAATCCAAGGTCACAAGTGGTTTTGTGGGCCAAAGGGCTCTGCTGCTCTCTACGTTGCCCCAGAGCACCAACAATGGGTGGATCCCCTTGTGATTTCGCATGGCTATGGGCGACTTGGTTGGAGAATCCGACACGTGTTGGGCATCATTTTCTCTAAATTGTTGGGTGTGGTGGACTGGGCATGCTGCCTTCACCTCAGGTCTGATTTTCCTAGTGGATTCTACTGGCCTGGTCTGTCAGATTTCAGTTCGTGGTTAGCTCTGGACGAAGTGCTGGCGTTCTGGGATCTGGAAGCTTGTTTGCAGAATGTCTTGCCAACAGCAGGAGAGTGTCGAGCTCGGAGCTGAGGTGGGCCTGGAGCCGGCAAGGATCTATGGAAACTACCTAGTCTTGGATGCCGTGACTCATCTCGGTTCAACATTCACTTGCTGCCACAGATAGCCCCATAGCACTGTCGACTTTTCAGGCAACGATGTTAGCAGAATCCTGGGGAACCGGATTGGGCATACCGGACTGCTCGACTTCCCATGAAGTGTGTTTTGCCACGGCCGACAGCACCGGACTACCCATCTCGACCTTCGAAGGAGGAGCTGCTCGGCCCTATGGCCCTTGTGGCTCTGCCACCGCTGAAGGCACTGGGTAGCCGCAGGCGCGGATGCAAAAAGGCTTCATGCACCCGAGCAGGCCTGAGGAAGCTTTTCAGTCCAAGGTGTACGTACGATGATGCTGAAGCAGTGCAGAATGCATTGTTCCAGCGCAAGATCGAAGTTCCAGTCAAAGTTTTATCTGAGCAGTTGTATGTCCGTGTCCAATCTGCATTGGTAAGTTTGGTTGGTTTTTGCTTTGGTCCACACTCGTCAACCGACGCTGTTTTGCTTGCTTGTGTTGTCCAGGCATCTCTGCGCACATCTACAACCACATTGAGGACGGCCCCATCATGCATGCGGGTGAAGTAAAAGTATTTCTTGGTGCTTCGAGCTGTGCAGGAATATGAGACCCTAAGGGATGCTGTCCTGGAGCTTCAGCGCATGGAGACCTTGTAAGCTTGAGCCTGGGCTTCGAGAACTTTCTAGTGCACAATGCAGCCCCATCACAGAATGGGAGGAATGGCAGTGAGACGCACGGATGATGCTCTGCTTGTGGTGCGCAGTGTCCGAGGGTTCAAACGCGTGTAATCCCACCATGCAGCACCAGCATCACAGCAAGGCAGATTATGTCCGTCTCACGGTTTGCCCGTTCGTGCTTGTGCAACTGCCGTATGGTCAGGTTTGCATGATGGGCAAAACGCTCATCGCTCAAGCAATGGTTAAAAGACTTTCAGGCTTCCTGTACGCGCCTTCACCGTCCGAATTGAGAATGACGACTTGACAAACATTCTCACGCGGCACCAGAGGCTTTCCCTCCTGGAGGGCAATCTGCAGCCAAAACCTTCGTGCGGCCAGCTCCTCAGTCATGTCAGATCAGCACGATTCATCCAACGGGTAGACTCTTGCCTTCATTGTATCAGAGCTCTTGGTTAATGAGGATGCCCCACTGAGCAAACCGAAATCGTAAGTCCGAAGTGTTTTACAGCAGCTAGAGTAAGAAGCACTATTATTGTAGACAGTAGAGTAGAAGTAGGGAGGGCGAGAAGAGAAGGAAAGGGCAAGAGCAGCCGGAGTAAGAGAAGTAAGAGCAGGACCAAGACAAAGAGTCAGAGGACTGAATGGGATTTCTGGCTTAGAAGCCACTCTTCCCTTCACAGAGGCTGGGAGTTGGTGATTGCCCCGATCGCGCTAGGCCAGGTTTCGTTGCACAATCCATTGTGCAAGGCTGAAGCAGTAGTATTGTAAATGGGGATTCCGCAGTCTCCAGCAGAGACTAAGATCATATTTCTATGGTGCTTGTGAGAAGAATTGTGTCGTTTTTTTTAGTTAAAACCCAAAAAAGTCCCTCCCGTGGGATATGACGTGGCTTCAGGAATCCCGCTGCAGGTAGCCATGGTGTTTTGCTAGCAGCCATCTGACATCTGCAACGTTTTGTCCCGTGGAGTGCAGGCATCAAGGAAACAGATGTCTCTCAAGCGTTGACAGCGTGTAGGCCTCAGCTCTTGTGCCTGTCAGAATTGGGAGCTGAGCCTTACTTTCTTCGTCTTGCAGCAGAATCAAGCAATACCCTCCACATGCTGAATGTATCAGCTCTATTCAGGCATGGGCGGGTGCGACACGTTAAGATGACCGATCCGCCAGTCCGGACCCCAACTTGTGTGTTTTGGACTGCGGATGCGCCATCCAAGTCTTCATGGCACGTGAAGCAGTGCATAGCAGTGCAGTTTGTAGAGGTGACTGCAATGCAGCATGATCTTTTTTTCGACTTGGGACAGGCGACAGCCAAATCTGCATTAGCGCTGGTTGTATCGCATCGCACCTGTGTGCCTCTTCAGATGCAAGCACCTGCTACGAGTCGCCAGCTTTCAGGATAAATTCAACAGGATTGCATAGGTCCAGCATGCATGTAGCTGTAAGAACCTACAATTGTGGCAATGACAGCTGGTGTAGCTCTTGCTGTCACCCGGCATTCGGATAATGGTTCGTCTTGTCGGGCTCACCGGGCCGATTGCCTGTGGGAAGTCTACAGTTGGCGCGCAGCTCGAGAAAGGAGGCTGCATGCTGCAAACATGTTTATAGGGGCTGGAAATTTTGCCAACTCGACTCCATTCAAAATGTCTGTGCAGGTGCTGAACTCTGCAGGTACTTGCCTCATGGACATGACATATTCGAACTTTCAGCTCACACCCCACAAAGGCTCACACGGGCCTTCTGCTGAATCCTACACAATTGTAAGGGGAGACAGAATCACACACCGCGGGCAGTTGATGAACCATGACATGAAGGTCTAATCTCAGAGGCCATGCGGAGTTTTCCATGTACGTCCTAGTACGTCACTTTAAAGCGCCGCAGTACCAGAGCATGAATGATATGAAGGATGCCAAGAAACAGTCAAAGGACCCTTGACACGAACTGGGGACCGGTCATATGCTGGAGAGTTGCTGAAGCCTTGTATGCAATCTGAGTGGTTTGTTTATTTGTTTGTTTGGGATTCCGTTCACCAGTAGAGAGTAAGATTATAGCATCCTTTCTGGGTATAGTAAAATTTTACAACACGAATATATTCTCGCCGAAAAGCGTTACTCACCAGCGTGGATGAGGCTGCATACAGTGCCTACAAGACAAGACTGGATTGAGCAGGCTGGCCAGTTGTGGATGCAGACAAGATTGCCCACGAGCTGCTAGCAGACACCGAAGGTGAGGCCTTCCCTAACAACCCAGTGTGTCAGCATGATAACGGGTGCCAAGGCATCGTCCACAAGAGGGTCGTCTCGGAGTTTGGGACAAGTGTCCTCAACTCTGCCGGTGTCATCGACCGAGACAAGCTGGGCAAAATCATTTTCTCCGATCCAGCGAAGCGGAAGAAGCTGGACCAGGTCCCAAAGTGAAGTATGTGAAGTGTAAAGCGGGGGACCCCAGGCCCAGGCTGCAGCTTGACTAGACTAATCTAGACTAGCAGGCCACGCATGGAATCATCTTGCTGACCATCCTGCGACAGACATTATGGTTCATGCTGCAAGGCGTGCAGGACTGCAATGGCTGTCTCAAGCCCAACAAGTTACAACCCGACAAGTGCCCTGTTCTTCGGCAGGCCACCACACCATCGTCTTGGATGTGCCCCTGCTGCTGAAGTTCCCAGTCCTGCGGCGCCTGTGTCTCTCTGCAGTCCTTGTGGTGCTGGTGCAACTCGGACCAACCTTTTGATTCGGGCCCGAGATGAGAGCATGTGGACAGTTTTCTGCCAGCCCGTCTGTCTTTAGCTTCTGCACTGCTGGCGGGCTACTAGTCGTCGGGCAGGTCGCCAGAAAAGCAGCTGGCACGTCTCATGGCAAGGAACGCTCTCTCACAGGACGAGGTCAGGTGCTTCCTTTTCACTGTTGGCATAAAGTCAAAATTAGCATGCATCTGTGCAGGAATGAGAACATGAAATGGGCAGGTCATCCGTTGCATGCCCCGGTCAGGCGCGCAAGAAGGTTTCTGCGCAGATGTCTGGAGAGATGCAGCGAAAGCTGGCGGACTATGTCATTGAGAACGACGGTCACTCATGCGATTAGCAGTGGCATGCCTGGGGGCAAGACCTGGCTTCTTGAAGTAGCTGTTTGTGCAAATTAGGTCCAAAGATCTTCAGACTGCGTTGGAAGTTTTCTTGCTAAGCTCTATGAAGCTTCTACTAGTTACTATTCATCTTCTAGTACAGACAGGCGACAGTTGTGCTTTGTGTGGCTTTGATGGGCCCTGAACACAAGATTCATTTCATTGCTGCTTGATGGGTCCTACCCAGAACCCAGCTCGTGGCTGCTTTTTCAAGTTTCAACTCCTCTCAACTCAAACCCAGCTCGTTGCTGTTTGGATAGAAATCCAATCTCTATGCTTGTTTGAGTATTCTTTGCAATTGAATTCTGCATTGATCCTCGAAAAGTTTCGTGCGGTCAGTTTGAAGCCGCCTCTACTCTAGATTTGTTGATCTGCCAGAGAGCCCCTGAGACTACCAGCAGCCACAACGCCAGCAACGCATGACCCCACACTTCCAATGCAATTGCCTCCTGTCGAAACGGGCTGTTGACTGGGCCGTAGCCGCACCGCAGTCCAAGGAAGCCTGGAGGAGCTGCTACAAAGCGTTGCCAACCTGCAGCGCGAGGCGCGAGGTGCTCCCACCACGAGTTCAGATTCACCTGGAGACCCCATAATCGTTATGCATCAGCATGTGAGCACCATCTCATGTGTGGTCTTGGGCTTCAGCAGGCGCCTCGGGGCTGGTCAGCAGCTTTGGTTGCCGTCGTCGCTTCCACTTGGGCGGCTCTTGGCATCGGCATTGCGAAGGCGCGTGCAACTTCCTTGCGTGTGAGAAGCGCCGGGAGCAAAATCCCTGGAGGCTGGTGCTGGCGCAGTCAGCTACTCCAGTACGCTTCTGGGATGGCTGGGTGCTGGTTCTGCAGCTCTCTGTTTGGGCTACCGCGGAAGAAAAAGCCTTGCACCGCTTGGCAGCCGGGCAGTCCGAGATTTGGGCACATATGCTCTCGCCCTTTGACAGTGCTGTGCCTTGTATGCTGAGGGCGTGTGCTTGGTTGAGATGGCCCTGAGAGATGGGGCGGAGGTGCGCGTAGCGGACATGTTTTTTTGTCTCAGCACTGGCTTTGAGCATCTAGCCTCCGTGAGTTCCGGTGCAAGGCTGCCCTCCAGAATTTGCGAAGCTTTGAAATCAAAGGCACGCAGGTTTCGCACTCCCGCCATGCTTACTTCCTGTACTTGGCTCTTAAGTGCAAGTGTAACGATGAACAGCAACCATGGCATGGGCTGCAGTTCGTTGTGGCGTGTTGGCCGCAATGTTCAGTGCACAGCAGGCAGGCTCAGAGATTGATACGGGCATGCTACCATCGTCGGATCTCGATTCGGCCACGGTTTCATGAATGTAAGTACTTGAGAGAGCCTTTGCCAAATGCAGCAAAATGTCTCAAGATGACGGAAAGCAAGCTGAACAGCGAGCGAAAATGGTATCTTGGGGGGGAGTTTGCGGGGGACGACCCAGCGTCATCAGCATCGTTGCTCCTCCGTTTCTCCTCCAGGGTTCTCTTCTCCTCCAGGCGTCATTGGACATGGGCTGGGTTTTTGAAGCTTCCCCGACCGCGGTGCTGGAATCCGCAATGTAATTCAGGCTGTCAACGCAATTGCAAGACACCTGAATGAGTAGAAATGCAATTCTCCTGGAAATGGACAGCGAGGCAAGCATAGCGGTATCCTGCGGGGGCCTTTGTGTGGGGCAGTCGTGACTTGCAGGGGCAGGGGATGGTAAAAATGCGTGCTCCTCGGCACTCGGTTTCAGTGTGGTCGGCTATGGTTTTCAAGCAAGTCAAAGTTTGTGACAGCAGCATCTGCAATCAGTGCCAGAGCTGCTCGCAGCTTTTGCCCTTGAACCATCGTCACTTACCAGGGTGGATTGGAGCACAATGGCCAAAACCGAGATGGGCACCTGCCTTGAAGGAGTTGGTAGTAAAGACGTTTTTCTGAGAGTCAGAGGAACCGCAGGTCTTTGCAACAAGCGCCACCAGAAGCCTCCGGATGAGCCACCTCCCAGGAGTTTGCCTTTTTTGAGCATTGCGGGCTTGCGGGGGGATTTCTGCATTCACAAGGAGCTTCAAGGAGAGCACTGAGAGCACTGCGCAACAGCCGCGACCTCAGCCCGTGCTGCCTAGCTTGCTGAGCTTTGCCTACCAATGGCACCACAGACGTGGCATTGGCTCAGATTTGGCTTCCAGATCGGACAGGCCGCGGTGCACGGTGAAAGACTTCAACGTGTGTAGTTGGCTCTGCAGCTTGTGTTCGAATCCCAATTATGCGGCAGGCGGTCCTGATCTCGAATCTCAAAGGAGCCCCGCAGGTCCAGTTTCAGCCTTTCCGAGTGTTTTGCATTGATTTGCCAAGAATGTGCCCAGTTCAACGGAAGTACAGCGTCTGTGGTTGGGTTCCGCACTGATCGAGTGGAAGTTGAAGTTGAGGCGCCTGGGCTTGATTGATCATTCTGGGTCCAAGCATGTCCCATGGCTTTTCTTTGATGGGGCTTGTGAATGACATGATGGGGGTCCTCGCTGGTGCAAGTGATGGTGGTTGTGGCGTGCAAGCTGCATGTAGCGTGGACTTGTGCTTCTTGGCTATTTCGAAGCAGGGATCTCAACATGGCAGAATGTAGGTTTTCTGTCGCACGGGGATCTTGGCGAAGGGACTCGGTGTTGGTTGAGCTTGGGCCACCCAGGCCACTCAGCATCCTGAGGTGTGACAGGCCTGTTCTCCAACGGAATGTCAAAAAGCTGTATCTCACAAACTGTATGTCTAGAAGCCAGCCGTATCCAGCGTTTCCAGACAATCTGGACTTGCTTCTCACTCCACAGCAGCAGGCTTCAGGTATTCAAGCTGGCAAGCTGGGTTTTGTTTGGCTGGTGCGTGTCAGAAGTGACCTGACATGCACGAGTGCCATGGAGCTACTGTCAGAATTCATCACCATAATGGTTACCAAAAGAATACTCTGGGTGGACATTGGCTCCCTTTGGTAATGCAACAAAGCCGTGACACACAAGGTTTTCAAGGCACCTGCCAGGATGTTCCCTGAGATGTGCCCCGAATCAAAGAACATCAGTGGCTGGTGCAGGCGGACGGGGCGAAGAAAACCTTGGCCCTGAAGCCCGACAACCTTAGTGCATCAGCAGGCTGCAGCCTGCGTGCTTGTATGCTGTTTCCATTCAAACTTCTGCGTTCGGCATAGCATGAGGCGGCCAAGCTTGCCAAGGTGAGGGCGAGTCAAAGATGCAGGCCCGTTTGCAGCTTTGCTGAGCTAGCATCAGCTGTGACTGCGTTGCCGACTGCCAGGAGCCTGCAGCTGAGCAGGCCCGGCAACATCCTGCAATCACTGTTTGAAGCACCGCTAGCCAGTGCCCTCCTATGAGGGCTCAAGAAGATGGAGCAGAAAGATGGAGAGATAGGAGCACTCACAAGAAGCGGAACACAGGCTGGAAAAAATCAGAAAAATTCAGCATGTCGTGTCGTAAACTTCAAGAAGGATGGCGAGAAGAGAGGGAGTAGAAGTATGAGTTTGGCATAGTGTGTCAGTTCCACTGAGATTAGCAAGCTGCCTCTTGAGCGAGACGTTTAAATTAGCAATCAGGTTGCTGAAATTAGCAAGGGACTTTCGAGCGAGATCTTTTCAGTTGGCAAGCGGCTTCTGAGCAAGACTCTCCCTTTTTATCAGTATGGCATGGTTGACAACCTGAGAGTTAGCGAGAAACTAGTCAGCGTGTTTGTCAGCGGTAAGCGAGAAAAAACATGAGGGGCCTGGGAAGCTCTGGAGGTTGTTGGTGGAGGCATCTTTGGATGCTTTAGAAGCAAGCACTTCCTGCAGAGAGAGAGGCAGTACATAGCCATGTGATGCTTCCCTTGCTCGGGAAGTAGCTGAAGGGGCAGAGTGGGGCAGGAAGACTTCGGAAGCTTAAGGCAAAAGCTGCACCCGGCATGGAGGCTGCAGAGCCGAGGCGCCGTCGAAAGTGGGAGGAGCCAAGTTCTCGGCTCTGAATGTTTGCTGTCACGAGGCACAAGTGCATTGGACTGAGGAACAATGGGGGCTTTGTCGTGCCACAGGTCTCCAAAAAAGGCCAGGCACACGACACTGTCCGGTTGTAACAGACTTATTTACTTATTGTTTAGTTTATCCCGCTCCCCAGTCGATGATGGCTGATGACAAGGGACATTACATGGGACTGAAACAGGACCGACAGACGGGCCAAAGTTGCCACCGCTTGCCTCCTTGGAAGCTATGCCCGTGGGGAGCCCAGTGCCATAGAATTAAAGGGAGCCAAGGTGCCTGGAAATGGGATGTGTAAGGCGCAACGGTTGACCTCTTTGTTTCAGCCCTTGTTGATACATAAATCTGTTGAGCAAGCTTCTGCTTCGGAATGAAGTGCTGATTGAAAAATGTACCAGGATTTCATTGCACCTCCCATACCGGCTGCGGCATGCCCAGGTCAAGGAACTACGGCAAGCGTTGCTTGCTTCATGCTCAGCCTTGTAATCATTACCATTGGGCAGGAAGAGCCTTCAAAGCATGTGCAAAAGTTTCCACGCATGTGATAAATTTCCGAGGCATGTGCTGTAGACATCACGGGCTGCTGCCGTCTCAGCGCAGCTGTGCATGGGGCAACCGCAAGATCTGACAAATGTGCCATTTATGCATTTGCAAGTTGCCAGATGAGGCCTTGAAAGAGCAGAGTTCCTTGCAAAGGTGCCTCAAGTACCAGTCATGACGAAGCCGCTTGATCCGCCGATTCCGTTGCCAGGCCAAGGAGGTTGCGGAGCAGCGTTCGCAGTGACTGGTGTTATGGCAAAGCCCAGTAGAGACTTCAGCATGGCGCGAGCTGCAGAGCTGGGCAACTGTTGATCTGCAATTCGAATCTGTTTTTAATGCAAGGATGCAAGACGCTGCAGCTCGCTTCCCCAACAGTGTTTGCAAGCACGGCGTGTGCTTGTTCCTGCAGCTAGCGGCAGCAGCAGCCAAGATGCGCCGCAAACCTTTAGCCGTCGGCGGACAAACGTGCTGTCTCATGAGTCTTTTCTTTTGAGTGATGGAACGTCATAAGTCGGGGTGTAGAAGTCTTCGTCATTGCGCAGATTTCATCAGTTCCCCATTGATGCCTCATGCAAGGGCTTGACGAAGATAATGTCAACTATATGATATCCATTTCGCAAACCCGGGGCGTGCCGTTTGAGTTTTCCTCGGTCGACAGCTGTTGTCAGAGAGTGGAAGGTTTCGCGCGCTGCACATGCGAAGGATTTTAGTTCCTTGTCTTCCAGGACCCTGACCATCGTTGGGGCTATAGCTGTACAACGACAGTCAGTATCATGTCCTCTTGAAATTTAGCTGCTGCCCTCTGCTTTGCCATGCAGAGTTGGCAAAAGACCTTGTCGCGCCTGGCTCCCTGGAGCTGATTCGTGATTCTGTGGCCCCTCGTCATCATGTGTGTGCGCTCTCCTGAACGCGCTGCTGGCAATAAATGTCTCCGCTAGATTTCAAGACTTCCTCCCGCCGGAGGGCCGTTGAGTCTGTTCGCAGCGCAGAACTCCAATCTGTTTAGCCTCGTTGGATCAGGGAGATCGGGTAATTCATCTGCTGCATGTGAACGAAGTACAAGAAGACTTCACAATGCCCGCAGACCGGAATGCTGACGCTCTGTTGGATGGCTTGGGGCCGCAGATCAATGATTCGAGCCTGGGAGAAGACTGGCAAGAGACAGGACGTCAAAGCAGTCCGTGCAGCTTGCGTAGCTCCCGCAGCGCTCAGATGCGCTCAGTAAAAGCCAAATGAGTCTACTGACGATCCACTGCAGGCAGTTCAGGCGAGAGGAGCCGCTTGAAGCTTCTATGGCCTGCCTCGAAATCAATGAAGTCATGCTGAGAGACTCATCGGATCATCAGCGAGGCACCAGGTGCTCCGCAGTATTTACAGCGGCTCGATAGCCAAGACTCAGCAGCCTGCCTCATGCATCCTGGAAGCACCCAGCCTTTCACTTTCGTTTTTGCTGAAAGAAGCCTGGCAGAAAGTTGTTCTTGTGACCTGATTGACTTTTGAAACTAAGCAGAAGCTGGATGTAGACATGGCAGATTTGCCTCTTTGACAGCCCATGCTGGTCATCTATCACAGGCACGTTTGAGAATACCTGCTGTAGCACATGCACTCTGTCGACAGGAACACGTGAGCTCTTAACCTAAACTGCTGAGAAGAGCATGTGCGAACAGAGTGAGCTGAGGCAAGCTGAAGGGACGGAGCGCGACGGGCAATTCTTTGACGAACGCTCATGGTAGGAATTACGGTCGCTGCGCAAACTGAGAGGAGAAGTATCATTGAGGTGTCGAGACAAATTCTTGTCCGGCCTGCCCGTTTTTTGTGACAGGGCTGGGCCCTTGCTATCTTTGATGTCCTCAAGCAATTCAAGCATTGGTCAAAGCATTACTGCCTCAGTGCCCTGCAGCTTTGGTCTCGCCCAAGTTGATTCGAAATCCTGTGCGATCAACATGGCAACCCGTTTGACCTATGCCTAGCAGTGTTCTGCTGAGCTCAGATACTCGTAAGCGTCCGCAGTCTCATGAAGGACCTGAAGCTGCTTGGTCGGCTTATTGCTGTTCCTTCAGCTTCCGCAGCTCGTGCGCCAGGAGAGAACTGAACGACTTATTTCCATTGCGCCGCAAACTAGCACGTTGCAAGGTGCCTCGAGCCTTAATGTATCAGATAGCTCTTGTTACCTGGGAGTCATCAACAGATGATGCTCTGTAAACAGTTGCTTCTCAGCTTCCTGTCGTGGAGAAAAGGCGATGTTTTGTTCCTCACAGAAATGCAGCCTCCAGCACCTGAATTCGGCTTGGCTTGAGAACCCAAGCTTTGAGGGACAACCGTAACTAGATGCTGGAGTAGAACATGACGCAGCTTCTGGAAAGCTCGCAAGTTCTGATGAGCGGAAGATGACAGGATAACGTGTTGTTATGTGGCATTGCCCGATTTGGCTCTAGTTCGAGCCTTGGCAGGAAATCAGGTCTTTCCATCGCCGCCCAATCTACTGAACCGCGAGCGGGCAATGTTGTAATCGCGCAAGCCGGTGAACGAAGCGCCTCGCAGTATTTTCTGGTGTTTTTTGTTTTGGTTCTTATGGCGTCTCACATGTTTCATAGCCCTTCTCACAGTACAGGTGCATGGCGAGCTGGTGCCTGTGATGCACCGTCAGCTTGGAATTTAGGCGTTGCAAAGCTTTGCAAACAGGTACTGGCACTTGCAGGCGTATGATTGACTCAAGCAGACAACGAGGCGAACAAGTTTTCTTCCACTACAATGCTCAGGTATGGGAGCACCGTGCCGGTTGCGAAAGCAGACCAGTCAGGCCCCCCTCAAGCCTGGCAGAACTTTCTATGTTGTGTTGGCACTCCATGCACATATCATATGGGAGTTCTGTGGACATGTGTGGACATACCCTGCGATGTGCACACAGATCGCGTTGTAGTACTGTAGCACTTTCAGGCTGGTGGCGAGCTGCTGCTTCCGGTTGTAGCAACTTCTCCATCCAGCAGCTGAGCTTGATTCATGCCGCGCAAGGTTTTTTCCAAGCAAATGAGAGCGGACGAATCGGCAAGTTGCAAACAAGTCGCTGAGAGAAGGTATTGTCCCTAGCCGCTAAGGTACAACTACCAATGTGATTTCCTCAGAAGCTTGTAGCGCTTGTAGCGCTTGTAGCGCTGCAAGGCTTGCCCTTCGGCAAACTAAAACCCCTCTCAGGTGCAAGTATCGCGCTTGCGGTAATGTCAACGCACAATGACCGGTACGTCCGAGATCCCCTGGCGGTGCCTTGGGGTCAGCTGAGCACATACAATTGATGGCATTTGCTGCGCAATTTCTGAGGCCGACTATCCACGACCCCCTTGGGTCTCGCGATCCCTTCTAGCATTGGTCTTTGTTGGCTCGATGGCAGGCTAGCAAGTCTCATGATTTGATGTTCAGATTTTCCAAGCCTGGCACGGTTATTTCGGGTATTTGGGTTTCTTTGCAGTTCGTCTTAGTGTTGAGAATTTGGAGTCGCCTCCTCTTGCGAGGCATGATGTGCTTTGGTTACTTGGGCGACTTGCTCGGGCACCGGCGAGCTCTTCTTGGGACCAAGGCTCATGTTCCTCAAAGCAGCATTCAGGCCCGGGGCGTCTGACGGCACATGCTTTCGCTGGATACAGGGCCTGGTTGTGCTGGGGGCCTTGATGCGTCTCAGCTGGCAGTTTCAGAAGGGAAGGTCGAGTCTTGCAAACGCTCAATGTGCGTCGCCTGTGCACTACAGTGCCTACCTTGCGCCAGATGCGCAAAAAATTGATCAAGGTGTGCCCTGCTACCCCAAGATGCTGGAGACGAGTTCTGGCGCAGACTGGCCATCGGCCGATTTCTTGTCGGAGTGGGTCTGGGCCCTCGGCATCCCTCGGCTATGCATCCAAATTCACACAGTCAATCACTCAATCTCAGTGAGAAGCGCTGTCGGGCTCACTTGCAGCTGCTGAGGCCTGGGTGGTGCTTACCCACTCAGTGCTGCCTATGCGGGTGCTTCTGCAGAGGTTGGTCAGGTGGGTGCACAAGCATGAAAGAACCCTGAATCAAGCAATGGGAGATGCTGATGCTTTCTGATGCTGCAAGGCGTTTTTCTGGCAGACACCCGGCGGCGTTGCACCTTACCTTGTCACACTTGCGCTTCTGCAAGCGCTGCCTGGTGCCACCTCTTCGCAGCTCCCTGGATATGTCTTCTTCTATTAGAGGCCGTGCAACTACCATGATGGGCCTTCGTACTGGAAGCCTCAGGTTCCGGCTCGTGCTGGGGCTTGGAGCTGTGCCAGCCTGCCTAGCTCTGGCCGCTTCCTGGGGCGAGGCTCGGCGAACATTTGCTGCAGCCCGGCGTGACTACGTGCTCCCGGTCCTGACAGGAGTCGACGCCGACGGCTCGTGCAGCTGGGGACCTGCGTCAGGCCAGCCGCAGATTCAGGGCCGAAGGCAGCCGTGTTGTCAGCTGGGCAAGCCGAAGGCACTGCACAGCCACCGTCGCACGCTGATTGGCACTGCAGGGACCTGGTTTCTCTTCGATGTCGCTGCCTACGGCCCCTCGGCAGCCATCCAGAAACAGACGGATGAAAGGCAGTCAAGGAGCGAACAAGGTATACGTGCTTGGTTGTGTCTATGCTGGTCCGACTGGAAGGCACCGTCATCTTCACTCCTCGCATCCTGAACCATGTCTTCGGTGCCACGTGCATGTGTTGTGATGCCTATTGCAGGCGTTTTTTCTTTCTGAATCCAGATCGACGCATTCTACCAGGCGAAAGCCAGTCCTTGACACAGCTGGCTCTCCATTCTGTTCTTATGCTACCCTGCTGCATCTGGGCTAGAGGCATAGTGCAGTTTGAAGTCTTGACAGTCAAGATGCAGCAGCCTGAGGCTATCCTTCGCAATCCCGGCGACATTTCTCGCTGTTGTGGCGCTGCCACGAGTGGGAGAGCCTTGGTGTTGAAACAGACAGAACATATCCTAATCGCACCTCCTTCAATGTCATCCAAGGCCAGGACGCTGAATGTGCTCGGCCTGGCGCAACACTGAGATGCGGAGACGCGAGCACTTCAAACTCTGGCTGCTGTATCTGCCTTTCAGCAGCTTTGCAGGCTCTGATGTCTCTCTGCTTTGCCGTCTTTGCGGCCCTGTCCGCAGCTGCTCCTGATGCGCACAAGGCGCTTGCTGGAGTGACGGGTTGCCTCAAGTTATCGCTCCCGCCTCCCTCGGTGGGAAGGACCACTGACAGCATTTCCAGCCATTTCTCAGAGGGGGCCCGCGGGGATTGGGTGTGTGGCTGACGCAGGGTGAGGCTGTGGCATTTGGCCAGGGAGTGGATGCGAAATCGGCGGCGTGGGCTCATGTCCTGAGCGGGGGAGATGCAAGCCCACAGCAGGTAAGATCCCTTGAACAAGTGAACGTCAACGGTTCAGCAGATTTGTGATGAGATGTGATGAGTGGCTTGTGGAAAGCAGAGGTACTTTTTGCAGTCCTATGTGCGCTGTACTTTGGCCCCAGCTCTCAGATACTTGTTTGTATCAGCCTTGCTAGTTACACCTTGTAGCTCTTCAGGCCTGAACTTTGGGCCGAGCGTCGCTACCTTCGTACTTCCTGTGGAGCTAGCACCTGCTGAGTGACTGGCCTCAGCAACTTGCAGCACTCTCACTGCCGTGACTAGCTAGCTTACTACAAGCTCGTCATGGAGCAAACCTTGCCGAGACTGCGCGGCACCTTTCACGGCCTCTCAGCTGCCGCGGGCAAGACCGGAGCGTTGGCCGCCCTCCCAGCAGGTCAAGTACTAGTACCTAGTACAGTAGCAACCGAAAAGGTCAAGACCACCTCAAAAGCTCTCGCCTTGCCAATGCGGCCAAGGTTGGGGCGCTGTTGTTCCCCGTGGTGGACGAAGCGTTCGGGGCACGAGCCTCAGACTCCTAGTCGGTAGGACACGTTTAGTACTGGACTTGCGTGCAGGTGCCCACGGTGATGGTTGCACAGGCTCGGTCGGGTAGTTTGGAATAGCATCCAATTTACATGCACTACGCAAAGGCCATCGTGTGCGCCTCTGGCGCTCTGCTGAGTCATATCTGCCTGGGCGAGAGCTCGTCGCCGAGCGAGTAGCCTCAAGAACCGGGGAGCTAAGATTGCTTCCAGTGTAAGCACCAACATTATTTGCAAAGTACGCAGTGAGAAACTCTCTTTTCATCACTACACATGACTATAGGAGCTAGGTCTGTAACCCATGCCGGGCAATGCGGAAGGGAAGGAGCTCATCTCAGGCCTTTGGAGTGCCTGAACCTTTTGAAAAGGTGGCAGGCTCCCAATTCTTAAATCCATTTCTTTGGAGGGCTTGGGCATCAGCTCCAGAGCCCGGAAATGCCCTTGTTATCTCGAAGCATGACCGAGGGTCTTGAAAAGTGCGTTGCACCTGCTCGCGCATGAGATTGCCCTTCTAGAATCCCGAAAGGAGCATGTGTGCCCGTAATGAGAATCGCGCTGGAGAGAAGTCAAGCACTGGCCAGTTGTGGACACGCATGGTTGTTGAACTGGCGGCTTTCCGTCTCGCTGGCTGGCTCGAAGATGTTGTGCAAGGCCGGATAGCATTGAAAATACGTGTAGGCCGCCCGTGCAGAACTTTTCGAGGCACCTGCATCCCTCCTTAGAACATCAGTTGAAGATCTTGAATTTGATTGAGGGGGGGCATTCTGCCAGGTACGGGCCGAATTCACTTTCAACGCGCTCGGCCCACTCGATGGCCACGCAGGTCTGCTGCCTGATCTTCATGCTGTTTCAACCATGGACTTTTGTGCGCGAACTCTGCGTGACTGGTGTCGTGGCCCTTGCAGAAGCTAGTCGCGCAATGATGCAGGCGTCAGCGCCCAGCGCGGCCGCAACGAGCGCAGTCAAGGCCACGTAGAGTGTTTTGGCTGGGGTTGAAAAGCTGGAAGGATGTGATGATGTGATCATGTGATCGGCATGATCGGCCTGGTGGCCAACTGCAGGTGATATCAAAGACATGGGCAAGGGATTCTCACGACCTCTTCGACTTCGAGGCACATCAGCTGCGCAGGCCTCAGGTTTTGTAGAACAGCGTGTCAGACGAAGTGCTGCTGGAGGTGTTGACCTGTGCAGACTGACATGCTGTTGCAGCTCAGGCATACTCAGACGTTTTCGGTGCCGAAGTCCACCGTATGCATGCGCAATGGCACTGAGGCTTGGCAAGGGTGAGTTGAACAGAGCTAACTGCTAGCAGCTTGCACCAGCAAAGCAGACTTTTGGCGGCTTTGCAGGTGCAGATGGTTGGAGAGCGGGATGTCCCGCCGGCGGGGGGAGATCCTCTCCTGCGCCTCGTGCAGCGTGATGGCACTTTTTGGGCTCCTTGGGTGAGGATTAAAGGCCTTAGGCGTTGTCTTGTTTGCTGATAATGTGACCGTTCTTGCACAGTCGCAACAGGAGTATCCTGCAGACTCTATAGCATGTGGCATGCATGGCCTTGCCCTTGTCGGCGTGAGATTTCTACTCAAAGTTGTAGCCTCTATTGAGGACGAAACCTGTGCCAGCTCGCATGCCAAATGGTTTGTTGAGCCAAGTGGACCACGTGAGCATAGCTTCGGGAACGCCATGCAGAGGTCACTGTTCAACTTGGGGCAATGATTTTCTGGTGGTGCAAAGGCCGCGCGGCTCTCGTCTGTCCTCCTTTCTGGGTTTGGGGACAAGCTTTGACACACTGACAGTTGATACGGCTGTGCTTCCCGCCGACAAAATGTTGGACGTTCGAAAAGCCTGCAAGCTAAATGTCGACGATCCGCTTGACCCTGCGGGACCTGCCAAGATTTTTCGAGACAACCTCGAGACTGGAGCACATTGTGCTGAGAAAATTGGTGGCAACTTCTTCATGGGTTCGCTCGGAGACAGCACTGGCACAAAATTCAAAGGTGAGATGCCAGTCGATCTGGGAGGACAGGAGCGAGAAGACCTTGAAGCCATCGAGGACACGTGTCACGACTTTGCGTCGCTTCTGCTTCACCGACTCTCGCGCAAGGAGAACAACTTCGTAAACAAGGTTGACGCCGTCCGCCTGCTGAAATCCTTTGGCAGATGCCTGGAGGCCATGGGACAGGGAACAATGTTGTTGGGCTGCCAAATGGGTGGCTCTAACGGTGAGGACCAACCACTTTGCGAAAAGGAGGAGGGAGTCGAACCTGGCCAATCCTCTTGGTTCTAAGTTCAAGGCCAGATCTTATCTCGATACGTGGTGGCAGGATGATGCCTTGCAGTGCTGTTCTCCAGAAAAAGGAGCAAAAGCTGTGACATCATGTGACTGGTAGACCGCGGTAGACATGTTTACACTTCCCGGCAGTGCTTAGGTCGACAAGGCCCAGCCGTCTGGAGTCCCAGCGGTTTCACCTGTGAGCTGTGCCTTGCCGGCATTCTGGTGCCGAGGTCCAGCAACTCCAAGAAGCTATGGCTTGTAGTGCTCCTCAGCTGAATTTTACCAGACTTTCGAGGGTCCTAAGAAGCCTCAAGATTTCAGGATCTGGCGCTCCATTTGCTCAGGAGGGACTTGGTATCCAGCAGCCATCGCCTGCAGGAGGGTGATGCCAGGAGCTGGGAACCTCTCAGTTGCACAGATATGTGCTTGGTGACATTTTGTGACAGTGATCAGATTTGGGCTCCTCCGCAGAGCTTAGATTGATGCCTGCCTCAGGTCATCAAGCTGGGACGGTTCAAATTCCGTGTTCGCCAGCTAGTGGCATCCTCTTATGGGGGCATGCAGCCAGAGCTTAGGTGCCAACCTCAGCTGCCTGCCTGGCATGATCCGGCTCTCCTTCAGTGAAGAGCTGTTAGGAGTTGGTGGGAAGTTGGAAGTGCTGGTACCATCTTGTATGCCTGCAAGCTATTGCTTGCGAGACAAGACATTGCAGAGCTACACTTCTGCACTGACAGAGAAGACATCCGGCATTGCAAAGATATGGACATAGGATTCTCTAGTGCAATTTGATTTGTAGCATGCTGATGAGACGACTACCATACTTTGTGTTGGTGTGGAGTTTTGAGCATAGCTACATGAGCGTGACAAGATGGAAGAAGGCCGTCTGCCGCCGTCGGCAGACCTTTGAGAGTAATTAGTGGAGCAGTTTAAAGTCGCCTGCATTACAAGTAGATGTCTAACATGTTATGCACAGTAGAGCGGCCAAGTGCCATGCTCCGCAGCCGGACACGGGCGCTGGCTGCTCTGGCTGCTGTGTGGTGGCTTGGCAGACAGCCTGGTCACTAGAATCTAGAAGCAATTCCTGAGTTGTGGTAGCTAAGGACGACGCAGTCAAGTCGATGGGCGGACAGGTCCCCAGCGTCTATGACCTGCACCTGTGGTACTGTGATATGCTGTTTCTGTCAAGAATCTGCAAAGAGATCATTTGCCACCCTATTGGTTCTTTCTGAGACCATGAGAAGCAGTTGAGAGTGATGCTTTGTCCTGCTCAGCATCTTGCTCTTTTAGGCCACACAGTCCTGGGCAGCACCTCATGCTGTCTTTGGGTCACGCCTACGGGGGCCAAAGCAGGTGCATTCGTCTTTGCTGCGCTTCTCTGATTGTAGCGTTGTGTAGGCAGACCCCTGATGCTGCTGAAATGGGCTTGTGCCAAGAAATGGCTTTCCCTGGCCAGCTCCCGAACGGGTTGCGCTACTGGCCCGAATTCATCACGGAAGCGGAGGAGGCGGAGCTCATCCAGGCCGTGGATGGTCCAGGCCACTTGGCAGTCTCATGAAGAACCTTAAGGAAGGTGGTGATATGACATGTAGCCAACTGGCAATCACAAGCGTGTTGCAATCACAAGTAACCTTTTCTCCCTAATATTAAAAGAGGTAGGATTAAATAATCCGGGGCCCAACAAATGTTTAGTAACAGGGGGGTTATTTATTGCAAGAATTAGATAAGGCTGCGTGTATAGTCGTGTTAAACATCATGGAAAATCATCAATCAATTACTTGGATCTCATTGAATTCCAGAACCCCCAGAACCCCTGATTCATTTTCAAGTGCTCTTCCAGATTTTTACCCTGCATTTGAAGTTATCTTTTAATATCAGGCGGGGTTAAGATATTAGCGGGGGTTCTCACTATCAGGGGAAGGGATTAGCAAAGCAGATCATCATGAAAGAAGTAGCATGCAAGCATGCTAAGCGGAGGATCGTGCAGTCTTGGGGCGATCTTTATGAAACTGGCATCTTGCTCCTTATGGCAGGGGCAGCATGGATGCGGAAAATTCGCCGCGCCCAGCAGTTCTTCGGACTGTGTCAGTCTCAGCCATGTCATGCCACGTCGCTCCAGCTTGGCTAAAGCGGCGTGGCTAAGCGTGGCTAAGGGTGTACTACCAGACCTCACAAGCAGTACCGGAGCTACAGCCAACGGCGCAGAGCCGCCTGGAGCAACAGCACGGTCGCAAGCTGGAGGCGCACAGAGCATAAGATCCACCGGCTTTGCAAATTCCTGGGTTGCTCGCAGGACCTGCCTTGTTGGCTGATGCCTCGACTCAGGCCGCATCACACCGCCCACGCTTGCGGAAGCTTGCGTGCGTAAAGCTGCTTTTCCGATGCCAGGTGTTCTGGACTGTTCTCGGAAGGTCAAGGCTCAGAGTTGCCTCATTGGAGCTGAGACCCAGTACACGTATCATTTGGAAGTTTAGATACCTGTTGAACTGAGATCCTTTTTGGGGTCCTTTGCTTGCCTTGCTTTGCTTTGTCTCCCTTCATGTGCGTTGCCTTTGGAACAGCAGTTCCGCATTTGTCCTCCTTCACCAGGCATCAATCAAGTTCAGGCCAATGAGTACCTTGAGGATAGCGGCATTGGGGCCCACGTTGAGGAGCCAAAGGGCAGCTTTGGGAGGGGTGTGTCTTGCAATGAACCCGCAACAAGTTGGAATGCGCCAAGAGATAAGGAATAACTCGCCTTGCAGGTTTGTGTATGTGTTTCGAAGCAAACAGATGATTTCGGGCATGCGTCGGATTGGGACTCTTCACATACGTTGGTGAGCAGTGGATCCATGGATGTGAGTGTCAGCAAACTTGTGCTAGCAAGCGCAAAGCCCACAGAGCAATGCAGGACCCAGCTGCGGGCGAGACTTTGGCCACGTTATCCCTTCTGCGACCGGCGCTCTGATTGCAGGGTATTGCAATTGTCTTGCTGGTCAGCTGGCCCTTGTGCCAAACCAGTTTTCTTGGTAGACGTTCCCTTTGCATCTTGTTGGGCCGGGAGCCGAACACTTTTGCACTGCCGCGCTGCACTTGACTCTTTGCATATTTTCTGTGCAGGTGCAACTTACGCTGCAGAAGGCTGAAGCGGGCCGTCCGGTCCACAGGGACAGGCGTGATCCCGAGGACGACGATGACTGGCTATTCAGATAAGTCAGGTTTGTCAGTTTCGTGAATGTTCCTCAATGTCTGAAACGTTGGATTTCACCAGCGGGTTTGTTCAAGAAGGACAGAAAACCGCACATCCCTCCCACAGATAAACAAAGCTCTAACTCCCAACATCCACTTCTCAAAGGCTTCTGAGGCTTGGCTTAGATGAGGCTTAGGCGTGGGATAGCGCTGGGAGGCTGGGAGTGACGTCTATCCATGAGTGGAGTTAGTGTAAGTTTCTCGGGAAGGGTGGCCTCTGCGCTGGATTCTGTCAGTGGCTTTCTGATGGCTAGAGGTTGACGTCTTTTTTGAGGCAATGCACGCTTCACCAAGACAGGCACTGAAATCGTTCTGCTCTTTCATTCAGGACTGTGTCAAGGTGCTTCTGGAGCCGAGAAGCCTTTTCGTTCTGGAAGGGCAGAGCCGCCATGACTTCAGCCATGCAATCCGCCAGTCGATTCTTAGCGGCAGTTGATGGCAGTTGTAGGTTTCTTGACAACACATTGCATTTGGAAGCGGTGAGCCGGTTAGTGCAAGGCGCCGTGTGCCTCTGCGGGATGGCAGTGTGGTCACACGAGACGGCAGCTTTCGCCGTGTCTCGTTGACCTTTCGAGGTGGCCAATCCGCGTACGGGAGTGTGTGGAGTGAGCCATCTTGCTGCAAGGCTTTCAACATGCATGCAAAGGCCAGTTGCCCTGAGGCATCCTTGAAGAAAAGCGGAGCGCTACTCGAGCTGACATGCCTGCCGGCTACGAGACGTACATGGTGCCAAGCGAGCCGCGACAGTGCCAAAGCGCCGGATAAAAGACACATATCATGGACTCGTTGACTGGATTGTTTTTGATCAGTGGGGGCACTGCAATGACATTGCATAATTTGGATGTCAGTTCATGCCATCATCTCATGCTCTGGAGGCAATTGCCGCGCAACATTCAGGCTTCTCTCTCTCACTTGTACACTACGAAGCGCGTATTGATTCGATGCCCGACGATGCATGATCTAGCTAGGTAGGTGATGTTGAGCGGCAATGGCAAGCAAAGAGAGGCGTGGTGTCGAATCAAAAACGCGTGTTCGAGTTCTCCAAGCATTTCCCATGTCGTCCTTCCTGGAACCTCGCCTGGCACCCCTGCCATCCATTTGGATCTCAAGCGACGATGACCTCGCAGATAGGCCACCAGCATGCCAAGCGGGTTGCTGCAGTTGCGTATCCTGCCCAGCTTGTACAAGCCATAATGTGACAGCCTAGCTATCGATTCCATCAAAGACGAGCCCATTCTGTTTGACAGGAAGGCAGCCCTGCGACGCTGCGCTTCTTTCCCAGGCTTCCTGTTATTGTTGCCATCCCCGCTTGCTACCCCATGTGCGGACGTAGGCTGCGCATGTGGGCGCTGGACGTTTGGAGCATGTCGCAATGTGGGACCTTCTTGCTTGGCTTTGGGTTGCTCTTGAAAGGCTACATTTCGTTTGCCCTGCAGTCGCACAAAGACCAGGCCACTCTTCTGGGTGGAGCTTGGTGCTGGGTTGTCTCCACAAGTAATTTGTTGCGACAGGCCGGGCTTGACTTGACCTCAGAGAACGAGATGCTGAGCGAGGCTTCCATTGGCGAGTGTTCAACTGGTGACACCTTGACGCAGGTTCGCCATTCGAATTCAAACTGTTGCCATCTGATTTGTTTGTAACGACCCCGAAGGATTTCTTGGAACAACGGCGAGCGCTGCCGCCTCCACTTGTCGCTTGGCATAGTAGAGCGGATGCTGGGCAGAGTTGTACCTGTGGTGCAAGAGCTGCCATCTTTGCATTCATGTCTCCTACATCGTGTCAGGATGCATCGGAGGATTCGGAGGTGCATCCTGTTGCTGGTAGTGTCTTGACTGTCGCTCCCTGTCATTCCGGCAAATTGCTGACCTGGCAGGATGTGAATGTGTGGCCTGACACGGATACGGAGGATGATTTCGAAGAACGACCAAGTCTAGCAGCAACGCTTGCAGAGGCGTGCCTCAAGTTTCTGAGCATGTGCAAAGAAGGTGACCTGGAACTTGTTTTCCTTGCTACTTGTACCAACCTCTCAAAAGTTGTGCAGGATTCCTCTTCGGGAACGGCACTTGGATCGGCAGGCAGTTGCTATTTGCAGGCCGACCTTGCATTTTGGAATCCGCGTTTATCATTTACCAGCCCACTCTGTTTTTTTTTCTTTTTTTTTTGCCAGCGGGTGTTTTTGTAGTTGGAAAACTACATGTTCTGGGGTTTGTCTTGTTGAGTGCAGACTTTCGGAGAGCTTATCAAATATAAGTGCTTCGCGATCATCTCTGACTGTGCAGTCGAATCTATGCCACCTTGCACGGGGTCGGTACTTCATTCATGTCTGGGAGGGTCGCAGGCCAGGAGGTGT